ACACAGTGGTTGGGACCAAGAATGACACTCACCTCCAGGCCCAAAGGCATGCCAGGTTAGAGGGACACTGAACACCCCGGACACCCATCCAAGGAAACCCACCTACCTGCCACTAACCCATTCACACATGCATCCATTCTTCCTCTGAACCTTGGTTTCCTCATAAGAAGAAAAAACGTGTGACGGTGATACTACCTATTGTGTAACTGCTGTGAGGAATCAGGGAGAATCCACTTAGCCATGAATCAGTCCATGTGGTCAACAGCCAGGTAAAGGTTGGACCACTGAGCCACACCCCCAGACCCTCACTGGGGGATTCTAGGCAGGGGCTCTACCAATGAGCCACGCCCTTAGCCATCTTTTTTACCTAAGTTACCCATCCTCTCCTTAAACCCACTCCGTAGCCTAGGCAGGCATTAAACTTGTCCCCCCTGCCTCATCCTCCCTAGTGTCTGAGATCACAGGCTCGCAACCCCAGGCCCCTGTGCACACAGAGAGATGTCCATGCTCTCCTGTGCATCCTTTCTCCTCCTCCTCCCCCCCCCTTACTTACACCTCATCCTCCCTGAGCTCTTCTGTGTACAGCCACTGTTGAAGCGTGGACCAAGAGGAGACACAAGCCCGGACTTATGTAAGACTCCTAGTGACTTACTCTTCTTATCAAGAGAACAAAGTAGGTGAGTTTCCAGCTGGAATCTCCAGGAAGTCCACGTCTACACCACCCTGGAGTCTCAAGAGCCCATGACCGTTCTACACTGAAATCCCTGGAGAATCTATGGCTGCACCATCCTCAGGGCTCTGCCTTACCTTCGATAGGGCAGTTACTTGAGGAAAAGCAATGGAGCCCTTTCCCTCCCTCTTTCTATACATGTTGCTTCCCGTCTTATTTCTGGGGGACAATTACGTGACCAATTTTATCTCTCCACAGGCAGGATTTGGCATGATGGCCAGGTCTTTGCTGTTTGCAAATTGAGCCCTCTGAGCCCTCCGTGGGGACACGGAGTATCCCCAGATACTAGGAAAAGAGTATACATTTGTCCCCTGAACTTCCTGGCAACCAAATTTAGAAAATTTCCTCAAAATCGCTGGGCGGTGGTGGCGCTGGCCTTTAATCCCAGCATTCGGAAGACAGAGGCAGGTGGATCTCTGTGAGTTTGAGGCCAGCCTGGTCTACAAAGTGAGTTCCAGGACAGCCAGGGCTGCAGAGAGAAACCCTTTCTCTAAAAACAAAACACACAAAAAGGAAAGAAAGAAAAAAGTGGAAATTTCCACAAAATCATAGCAGTCATGTCTCTCGTGAGACTATGTGTACTGCTCTTAAGAAGACCGTGTTTATTGTTGAGACTGGATAGATAGCTCAGCGGTTAAGAGCACTGACTGCTCTTCCAGAGGTCTTGGGTTCAATTCCCAGCACCCACATTGTAACTCACAAACCACCCGTAAGTAAGTTCTGGTGCCTTCTCCTGGTGTGCAGGGCACTCCTATGTAAAAATATAAAGTTAAGAAAATGAGACAGTATTATCTACAATTAACTACTACTGCCACTACTGCCCTCACAGCAAATTCATGATAAATACAATGTTTATTCTTATTGACAAATGAAAATAATATATGCAGTTGGCCATGAGTCCTATAACCAAGAGTTTTGACTTTAAGTCATAGTACTTGGACCTGTTATGATTTTTTTTTTAAAGATTTATTTACTTTATTATTTTGTGTGTGCCTGGGACCTGCCGAGGTCAGAAGAGGGCATTGGATCCCCTGATACTAGAGTTAGTAGACTGCTATGTGCCACCATGTGGGTGCTGGGAATTGAACTCAGGACCCCTGGAAGAGCAGCCAGTGCTCTTAACCGCTGATCCATCTTTGCAGCCCAAACTCTCTAGTTTCTAAACCCTTTTATGATTTAGGTTAAGATCCTGGGGTCTCTGGTTTTTCCATCCCAGAAAGAAAACTTTTTCAAATAGCTACCGTTATTAAGAAGTAAATCCAGGGTCTGGAGAGATGGTTCAGTGGTTAAGAGCACTTGATGCTCTTGCAGAGGTCCTGGGTTTAGTACTGAATATCCACACATTGAATCATGCCATTTATAATTTGAGTTCCAGGAGATCTGGTACCTTCTTCTGACCTCCACAGGCACTGGACACACATGTAGTACACATACATGTAGGTAAAACATACATGCAGGCTGGGCATGGTGCACATAGTCACAGCACTCAGGAGGCAGAGGCGGGTGGATCTCTGTGAGTTTGAGGGCAGTCTGGTCTACATAGCAAGTTTCAGGACAGACAGGGCTACATAATAGAGAGGTCCTGCCCCATTAATAAAAAAAATAATCTAAAAATTAAAAACAAAAAAAAACTAAGTCCAGTGAGTGTTGAGAAATTTAGGGAGTTCAGGGAGCTCTTTTCCTGAGGTGAAGTTTGAATAACATGGTAAGAATGGATGATGTGTAAATAATAATAAGGGAGAATTAAAACAGAATATTATTCCACCACAAAAAGAGATGAAGTGTGCTGTAAGCACATAACAAACACACACATCTACTGATGGGAGATGTCATTCTGTAAATATGCTTCTCATATTATTTATGAATAAAGCACTGTTGGCCAATAGGAAAGCAAAATAGGTGGGACCAGGAGACCAGGAGGATTTGAGGAGAGGTAAGAGGAGACTCAACATGTAGGACCAAGAGAGCAGAACTCCAGACCCCCTCTCCGGTAAGATAAGACCACGTGGAAATACTTAGATTGATAGAAATGGGTTAATATTTGAGACAGAGCTAGCCAATAAGAAATGCTAGTAATAGGCCAACAGCTTTATCATTAATACAGCATCTCTGTGTGAGTCTGTATAGCTTCCTCTGCCCACTGCAGCGAGGGGGAGCTACACAGACTCAGGAGCAGCCTGACAAACATGGTGAACTTCCAGTCTAGTGAGAGACTTCTCAAGGAAATCAGAGGAAGGCCCCAGACACATCCCTCTGGCCTCTGCATTTTTGTGGGCACAAGCACCCACATACATGTGTGCATGCATGCATACTGCACAAAACGCATGAAAGAATGAGGCACTAATTTATACTTCATCATGAACATGGAATTATATATTGTGTTATATAATTTATTGTTTCTATTTTATGTGCGTTGGTGTAAAGGGGTCAGATCCTGAGTTACAGACAGCTGTGAGCTGCCATGAGGATGTTGGGAATTGAACCCGTGTCCTCTGGAAGAGCAGTCTGTGCTCTTAACCCCTGAACCTTCTCTCCAGCCCCCAAGTTATATAATTTGATGGTAGTGTAACGTATACTTCTCTTTAAAGATGCATTTCTTTTTATTTTACATCTATGAGTGTTTTTCCCATACGTGTATGTGTACCACCTGCGTGTAGGCCATCATAGGCCAGAAGAGGACATCAGATTCCTTGGAACTGAAGTTACATACAGATGGTTGTAAACCGGCTGACATGTGGGTGTTGGAATGTGCAAGAGCAGCCAGTGTTTTTGACTGCTGAGCCATCTCCAGCACACACACACACACACACACACACACACAATCAAGCTTGAACTTTTAACCCTGCTTCCATCCTGTGACACCCCCCCCCCACCCTTGCCATTGATTGGGTTATAGTCATGTACCATCCTGCCTGGTTTTGTGTGGTGCTGGGAATGGAACACAGTGCTTCAAGCATGCTTGTCAAGAGCTCTACCAAACTGATGTCAGCCCTGAAGCTATTGTTTCTGTAGCATCTTTTCCTTTAATTTTTTTCTTCATTCTAGTAAATTCTGTTTCTGAGTTGCTAGCGTCTGAGAGACCAGTGTTAAGTATCTCACCAGGAAGGAGTTTTAATTTATAGTTTAAATTGTTATTATTTATTTATTTGTGTGTGTGTGTGTGTGTGTGTGTGTGTGTGAGAGAGAGAGAGAGAGAGAGAGAGAGAGAGAGAGAGAGAGAGAGAGAGATGTTTGTGGTTTCCCAAAGAGGCCAGAAGAAGGCGTCAGATCCCCGGGCTGAAAAGTACAGACAGTTATGATCCCCTGATGTGGGTGCTGAGAAATGAACTCTCAAATCTTCTGTGAGAGCAGCAAGTGCTCTTAACTACTGAGCCATCTCTCTAGCTCCAGCTCCAGGGGGATACACACACACGCACACACACACACACACACACACACACACACACACACGCATACTCTTACTATGTGACCCTTGCTGGCTTGGAATAAGATATGTAGACCAGGCTGGCCTTGAACCACTGACCCTTCTGCCTCTGCCTTCAGAGTGCCGGCTTTACAAGTCTTTGCTACAGCGCACTTTAGGGATTTAATAGTGAGTGATGACTGAGTAGCAGTCTGATCACATAATGCTTGAACATTTACTGAGCAGGGTCCCACTTTCCACCTGGTGAGACCTGTATTCGGTCATAGCCCAGGTGTAAAAAAAAAAAAAAAAAAAAAAAAAAAAGAGAGAGAGAGAGAGAAAGAAAACAGAGATCTGAAGGCACCAGTCTGGGCTCCGCACTATAATTCGAATTCATAAAGATTCCATTCAAAGCTCACGCCTTTAAACCCAAAACGCAGGAGACTGAGGAGTTTGGAGTAAGTAGAATACAGAGGGACCCTGTCTCAAGAAAAAGAAAAAAGAAGAAAGAAAAGAAAGAAAAAAAAAGAAAGTACAGAAGATAAAAGGAAAAGATTTCGTTCAGTTCTGATTTAATTTGAAGCAGCAAGCTAGGCCCTTTCCTTCCTAGAAATTTGGACTGATACAGAGCCTACCCTCCTCTGCCCCGGCTGTCGTCATGACAACTGCGTCCGGCGTCTTGTTCCGGACCACTCCGCAGCTGTCCCTCCGCGCTTCTATTGGTCAAAAGTTAATAGTGAGCGGTACCTTTTCACGTTCATTGGTCAGTTGATAACAACGATGCAACACCACCCTCTACCATTGGCTGACTGCTTGCAGGAGGCGGAGCCTCTGGGAGACAGTTTGTGCTGGCTTTCTGGAGCTCTGCGGGAGAAGAGCCACCTCGGGATATTTGGAAGGATAAAGGTGAGGGGACCAGCCTGGAGGCGAAGGAGCAAGAGGCGAGGGGCAGTGAGAGAGGAATGGTGAGGACAAACGTGGAGTTCCCAGGGTCCTTGTCCCGCAGGGCGATGACCACACCGGCGGGCTCCGGTGCCGGCTACGGCTCTGTGTCCTGGTGGGGAATGTCGCCAGCGCTGGACCTGCAGGCTGAGAGTGAGTCTCTACGTTATGACCGCTCACGGTCTTAGACAAAGGCGCCTTTCCAACTCCCATGTGCGTACACCTTACAGCTCACAACACGTGTCCATGGCAGGGGATGCAGGGGTGTGTGTGTGTGTGTGTGTGTGTGTGTGTGTGTGTGTGTGTGTGTGTGTGTGTGTGACATGGCTTGGGGAGAGGGTCACCCCCAGAATCTCCCTTAATGATACTGAATACCACGACACCAGCTGACTTTGGAATCCAGGCTTGGGGTAGCAGGTCTGCTGGATCCATAGCTTCTTAAGGCAGCTGCAGTAAATGAAGATTAGGTAGTTGGCCCCTGCCCGCTATCGTCTTGCCAGGTCCTCCCGTGGACCCAGAGTCGCAGGCAGAGACAGAGCACAAGATCCCGGAGTTGGATGCCCTGCTGTTAGGCTCCGTGGATGGGCGACACGTGCTGCGGACGCTGTCCAGGGCAGCGCTCTGGCCTCTCCGGAGGTTCAATGTGAGCTGGGGTTCTGGGGTCGTGGATGGGGTGGGAGGAACTGAGAGCCCAGATTCCTGAGCCCTTGAGAGAAGAGACGATCGGAGTTAAAATTTCCAGATGCTAGAGAAAAGGGGGCTTGAGACTAGGCTGTGGGGTCTGAGGAGGTGGACGCTGGAAGTCTCAGACCCATGTCCTGGGGAAGTGAGAGGGTCCTGGGCTTCAGACAGCGGAGAGCCCAAGACCAGGTATCCAGCAATGGTGTGAAGGATCTGGAATCTGGACTTATGGCTGAAGGAAGGGACTGTCAAGCTGGAGCTGGTATTTCAAGCCTGTAATCAGAGATGCCCAGGAGGGCTGAGGCAGGAGAAGCATCTAAAGTTTAAGGCCATTCTGGGCTGCAGAGAGTTAAAGGCCAGGGTTCAAGGATGACCTAGTGAGACCTTGCCTCGTAATAAAAACTGGAAAAAGAGCGATGGGCAATATAGCTCAGTGGTGGAGGGCTGCCCTAGCCTTAGCTTGAGCAAGGACCCTGGTTGTGTTCGAATACTGGGGGTGGAGGGCAGGGCGCCAGGCACTGGAGGCTAGTGTTCTGGAGCCTAGTGTTCTGGGCTCCTAGATCTGCAAAACTGTCTTGTTTGTCTTTCTCTCCAGTTTTATGTGCTGGAGAATAATCTGGAAGCTGTGGCGCGACACATGTTGATCTTCAGCCTAGCCCTAGAGGAACCCGAGAAGATGGGGCTCCAAGGTTAGGCACTGTGCCTGTAGTATCCAAACTCAAGGCCCTTCCCTCTCGCTTCAAGGACAATGACCTTCCAATAATGTGATTTAAAATTTTGGAGATGGGATGGGTGTGGCGCGCGTGCAGGAGCAGAATGAGTTTCAGGACAGCCAGGGCTACACAGAGGAATCCCGTCCCAAAACAAAACCAAAACAAAGGCTTGAGGATATAGGTCCGCTTGCCTTGCCTTTCTCAAGTCCCAGCTTCAGTCCGCAGCAGTTCCTGAGTCAGCGATGTTTCCCCTCCTGCTTCGTCCTTCCCACCTCCCTCCAGAGCGCTGTGAGACCTTCCTGGAGCTGTGGGGGAATGCGCTGCTGCGACCCTCGGTAGCTGCCTTCGTGCGCGCCCAGGCTAGCAGCCTGGCTCATCTGGTCCCTGAACCTGATCGCCTGGAGGAGCAACTACCCTGGCTCAGCCTCCGGCCGCTCAAGGTGCCACAGCTGCCCACCCCTGTGATGGAGGGAGCATGGCCTGGAATCGGGTGGTTGCAGGAAGAATTGGAAAGGAGTAGTTCAGAGGAACTGAGGGGCTGGAGCAAGCTGGGGTGTGGAGGTCCCAATCCCACCTCTGTGACTCCTACTATTGGGCCATGGAATTAGGGGAGCCTTTGCTCTCTGGGTCTCTTTTTTCCTTCCCTTTCCCATAATCATTCCCATTTAATGGGTCGGAGGGAAGCCTCCCTGTATCTCTGGCTCTCTCCCCACGCATCCCTGGCTTGCAGTTCCGCGAGCGGGATGCCCTGGAAGCCGTGTTCCGCTTCTGGTCTGGTGGGGAGAAAGGCCCCGAGGTCTTCCCCATGAGTCGCCTTTGGGACTCGAGGCTGCGCCACTACCTGGGTTCCCGCTACGATGCCCGGCGGGGTGTTGCTGACTGGGACCTGTGCATGAAGCTGCACGATCGAGCGGTGAGGAAGCCCAGGAGCAGGTGGCTGGTGTCTGAGTAAAGCAAGAGGGCTGGGACTTTGTCCCCGGGTTTGAGGTCGGAAGGCTGGGGTCTGGACCCCTGGGTCTGAGGGAGAAGGGATTCCTATAGGTGTAGAGATGGGGTTTCTATACCAGATCCAGCAGGACCTTCTTTCCCATCCTCTATTCCAGGCCCAAGTCATCCACATCCAAGAATTCCGACGCTGGCGGGACACAGGTGTTGCCTTTGAACTCAGAGACTCAAGCGCTTACCACGTGCCCAACAGGACCCTGGCGTCCGGTCGCCTCCTGAGCCACGTGCGTGCCAACCCCAAGTCTTGCTTACTCTGCGTCTTTTAGGTCAACCTATGAGTAAAGGTCTCCAATTTGGACTTCACCTGCGATCTCATCCCCCCCTCGTTTTTTTGTTTTTTGTTTTTTTCCAGCGTGGGGAACGCGTGGCGGCGCGCGGATACTGGGGGGACATCGCCACGGGCCCCTTTGTGGCTTTTGGCATCGAGGCGGACGACCAGAGCCTCTTGCGGACGAGTAACGGACAACCGGTCAAGGTGTGCGGCGGGTGCGGCTGGAGTTAAGCCCAGTAGGCAAATTCCAGGCCTCTCCTTCCCAAGCCCTGCCTTCCGCCGAACCCCGCCCATGCCTTTTGAGCTCCACCCCTCGTTTCGGTCCGGTGTCCACCCCTTCCCCTCCCCCCCCCCCCAAGTAACAGGCTCTGTCCCCAGCCTCTTGGACCCCACTTCGATCCAGTCCTCTTACGATCTCCTAAATCCAGTCCGGGGAAAGCGACAAGGAATTCTAGTACGGGGCCAGCTGTCACCTGTGCAAAGTAAGCCCCGCCCCAGGCAATCTAGCCCACCCGTAAGGGCCCCGCCCCTTTTCTTCTGGGCAGACTGCAAGCGAGATCACGCAGCACAACGTTACCGAGCTGTTCCGGGAAGTGGCCGCCTGGAGGGGCCCGAGAGCCATCCGGGGGTCCCTGGAGGAGAAGACATCGCCCTTGTCTGATGGTAGGTAGCTTAACAGCTGCAAACTTTAGATAGGCGCTGTTTTAGAACCCACAAGTTCGGATGTAGCTAATTTGGGATACCTGGGCAGTTGGCCTCTCATTCTGCCTCTCCTAAATGCTAACACCACCGGTAGGAGAATTCTTGGTCCTGTATAGAGCTCTAACTGGGGACTGTCTAGATTTCCCCCCCCCCAGAGGCCCTCCCCGCACGGATTCTGGCTGTTCGTCTTTCTATTCCTTAACTCACCCCTCCTTAGGCACGCCTGTTCCTCTATTCAAAATGGGGCTCTGCCTCGCGGGCCCACCTCCCCAGATTTGCAGGAACCCGGCTCAGAGATGTGGTGGTGGTGGTGGGGTGCTTCTAGAAGGACCAGGAAGGTAGACAAGATAGCTCAGCAGGGAGCAGCGCCTGCCGGCAGAGTTTTGTAACTCAAGTTTGACAGGACTGATGTAAAGGTGGAAAGAGAGATTTGACTCCATAGTTGTCACACGCACACACTGCGGAACGCACCATCACAAAATAATAATAATGATGATGATGATGATGATGTTAAAGAAAAATCCAAGAAAGCCGGGCGTGGCCGCACATAACTGTCATCCCAGCATTCAGGAGGCCGAGGCAGAAGGAAGTGTCTGCTCTCGGTAACAGTTCCAGACATCTTCAGCTACAAGATGAGAACCTGCCTCAAAACAGAAACAAAAGTAGAGAGGAAGGGGCATTAACTCCAATATTTAGTTGTCTGCCCACTTGCGTGTGTGTCATTTTTGACTATCTCCCTTAAGATTTAGATTTCTTGGTGGCTGGGGAGATGGCTCCCCAGTTAAGAGCACTGGCTACTCTTCCAGAGGACCCGGGTTCAACGCCCAGCACTCACACGACAGCTCACAACTGTCTGTAACTCCAGTTCCAGGGCATCCGACCTCACACAGACGTACACGCAGGCAAAAACAACAATGCACATGAAAATAAAAATAGTTTTTTTAAAAAAGGTTTATGTGTAAGCACACATGTGTAGGTTCTTCCAGGGAACACAAGAGGGCGCCATATGCCAATAAAGGAGTTAGAGGTGGTTACAAGTGGTCGGAAGTGAGTTTTGGTGCTGGGCACCAAAGCTTGCTCTCTTAGCAGGTAAGTCATCTCTTCAGCCCCAGAACTGACCTTTTTCTTCCTCTTTCTTGCAGTGCCTACTCTAGAACCCTTTACTATGCATTTTCTGCCTCTCGATTCTTCGCAGACTCTCCACCATAAGACCTGCTACAAGGGCCGGTTCCAGCTGCTCTATGTGTCCTGTGGGTAAGTGGGACACACATGTGCTCATTGAGACCTAGGATTGGGTCCAGCTTCATTCTTAGAATCTGGGGACTTCAGCTTCGCAGTCTCCACCCAACCCCAGGATTTCATCCCTACCATGTGATCTCTGTCCGCAGGATGGTACATCTACTCAGTCCTGAGCTTGGGGCTTGCGTGGCCCCTGGAGGGAACCTGGTTGTGGAGTTAGCTCGGTGAGCCAGAGGAGCGGGGTGGGAAGGTCCCAGCTGGACCAGAAGCCCGGTCTCTTCACGTGCAGTTTCCTGAACCAGGTACTTGGTGGACCTGCGGCCCAAGGAGTTGAAGGCATTCTCTGACCGCGTTGGAGAGATAGCGCGGGCGGCTGGGTTCGCCCCTCATCCTGGAGCCATACCCTCGGAGACGTTTGCGCGCTTCTACAAGTTAGGGGACTCTACTAGGGGTGGTGGAGACTCGGTTGTGGAATCTGGACCCTCAACCTGCAAAGTCCTGGCCCTTCCTCTAGAAGCGATGAGACCACCCCAGGCTGACCCGACCCCTACTCTAGAAGCGATGAGCCCACCCCAGGCTGACCAGGCCCCTCCTCTAGAAGCGATGAGCCCACCCCAGGCTGACCAGGCCCTGCCTCTAGAAGCTATGAGCCCACCCCAGGCTGACCAGGCCCTGCCTCTAGAAGCTATGAGCCCACCCCAGGCTGACCAGGCCCCTCCTCTAGAAGCGATGAGCCCACCCCAGGCTGACCCGGCCCCTCCTCTAGAAGCGATGAGCCCACCCAAGCCCCTCCTCCTGAAGTGATAAACACCTGGCAATGTCTACGGTGAATGGTGAATGTACCTGCAAAACCCAGGGACCAAGAAGGCCAGCTTTAACTGCTGAAGTAGGCCCCAGGATTGACACCACCTCATATAACCAACCCTCAGTCCACCTCTGGCCCAGATGCCGTTTTACCCTGCATTTACCCTTTCTCAACCCCTTCCTGGAACTCTCAGCTCTGCGATTGTGGGTGGTGGTGGTGGGAGGCCCTAGATTGTTCTCTGAGTTACCCTCAGTCTAATTGCAGGCTGAACACACAGCCCTCGGTTCCAGGTCCTCTCCTTTGCCTTGGGCCCTTTCTCTCCTGACATTGCTACTGTTGGGAGACACAGGGACATCGCCTCCCCTCCATGTGGTTCAAATAAAGAGCACAGGGTCACCTCTGTGTGTCTGTCCTCAGTCTGTGCACAGCGCCAGGAGAAGTGGGGGAGGGGCCCAGTAGAAGCCTTTTTTTTTTTTTTTTTTTTTTTTTTGGTGGGTTAACTCGGTTTTATTTCACAACCCCGGGGTCCAACACGTGAGCATTCAAACTAAACACACTAGGGCCACTGAAACTGACCTGGGACGGGGGGGTAGACAGGAAAATTCTAGTCTTCTAAAGGACCGAAGTTTAGCGAGGGGCCGGGGCCTGGACCCCTAGGTGTGAGGGAAGAAGGCTGGGCCTGGATTTCAGGTTGTGAACAAGGGGAGCTGAAGCCTGGGCGAAGAGGGGAAGCTGGTTCCCAGATTTTCCCGAGTCCGAGGGAGGAGGAAGTCGGGACGCCAGGGTCAGGAGGAGGGGTGTGCATCTCGGGCACCTTGGTCCTCCAACTGGGGCTTTGCACACCCCTCCCTCCCACCGTTATCTCTCGTCCTGGGCGGGGGAGGGGACAGCGGTATATTTAGTCTTTGTCCTCGCCCCTTATCTCAGTATCCTCAGTGAGGCTCGAGCAGCCCAGAGGGGACCCAATCCCTAGAGACCTCCAAGGTCAGCGGGGACACCCCTCCAGGACCCTCCAGGACCTTTCTCTGACTCCGGGTCAGCATGGCAGACGAGTAAGTGAATCTTGGTAACCTCGGAGTGGATCCGCAAGGAACCCGGAGAGGAGCAGTCAGGCTTCAGGGGCCATGCTAGGGCGCAACTTGGTTAGATACTTGGCCCGAGATGGTAGAATGCAACGGGGAAGGGGGGTTGGATTTCTGGGTGGAAATGAGGGAAGCATTTAGGGATCGGACTCCTGGAGTCCGAGGGAATGGGAGCTAGGAGCCCCAACCTCTTGGCCAGGGGGACCCCCGTCATTGATTGCCTCTTCACGGTTTCTCTCCCTTCAGGAGCGGCGATGCGGTGAGCACTGTGCGCTAAGAAGCGGAGTAGGGAACCCTAGGCCCAGAGTGGGCGCTGCAGGGAGGTTACCGGGAAGGACAGGGTGGGAGGAGGGTTTGGGTACTGATCGTAGTCCGCTCCACCTCCAGGCTGGGGAGCCTCAACCGGCACCAGCCCCTGTGCGACGCCGCTCTTCTGCCAACTACCGAGCTTATGCCACGGAGCCGCACGCCAAGGTGGTTCTGGGACCCTAGAGGGAGGGACCACCGCTGGGCGGGGCTTCTGGGTTCAGAATCCTCAGGGACCCAGGGAGGGGCGGTACCAAGGCCTTGGTAGGGGTGATGCGATGGGTGGAGCTCGATTGGTGGGGCAGAATTCCCGAAAGGTGTAGGCTGGGCTTGGTGACCGCTGCCTGTGGGCGGAGCTCCGCTGCCCACCGCAAGGCGATGGCGATGGCGTGGGGAGCGGAGGGTAGATAAGCAATGGGTAGCTTCGGTCAGAGCCCAAGCTTCCGGTGGACTCAGCGTTCTGGTTGACGAATGGGTGGCCCAAACGTACAAGTACTCGAGCCTTGCACCCCCGCCCAATGTCCACTCCGGGACCGCTCGCTGACATTTCTCCATGTCACCTGGCAGAAAAAGTCCAAGATCTCCGCCTCGAGGAAACTTCAATTGAAGGTGATGACGTGTTCGGAGGGGCAGGACCTTGGTGGGCGGAGCTTTTCCGGGCATGGCTTCATTTAGGATTGTCACACCCCCGTACACACACACATCCACACATATCACATGCACACGCAGGCACGCACCTGCACGCAGAAACGAGACAGAGGTTTTGAGTAAAAGATATCGACTTGGACGTTCTGTCTCTCTGGAAGATGGGGGCAATTTTGTATTCCTGTGCTTTGGGGGACGCTGTTGTCTTTTCCAACGGTTCCGGTTCCGCAGACTCTGATGCTGCAGATAGCGAAGCAGGAGATCGAACGAGAAGCGGAGGAGCGACGCGGAGAAAAAGGGCGCGTTCTGAGCACTCGCTGCCAGCCTTTGGAGTTGGATGGGCTGGGCTTTGAAGAGCTTCAGGTACTAGGTCACAAAGCGGGGCCTGGGGCCCCCTTCCGAGCCTGGGGACCAGGGCTCCACGTCTCCGGCCTGGAACAGACAGCCCCACAACATCAAAAAACCCAGTGTATTTATTTCTCCAGCCGCTACCTGCCAAGTCTCAGGATTCTTTGTTCCTAGCCACATAACTTTAAGTTCCCAGGAGTCCAGATTCCAATGTTGCTTCCTTCCAGCCCCTCCTTCCTCAGGCCCAGGAGTCTCGACCTCAGCACTTTTCTGGACCCAGGGATCCAGGGCCCAGGCCTCCTCCCTCAGACCATGCAGCCGGGTCTCCAGCCTCTCTCTTGACACACATGTATCTTCATCAGGACTTATGCCGGCAGCTCCATGCTCGGGTAGATAAAGTTGACGAAGAGAGATACGACGTGGAAGCAAAAGTCACCAAGAACATCACCGAGGTGGGAACCTTTTGGGGGAAGTCTGGGCACCTTCACAGTGGACTGTGATCCCCAGGTCTGTAGCTTCAGGCTGAGGGATGCTTGCTTGTGCGTGAGAGAACTCTGAGCAGAAAGCGGACAGTGGTGTGCCTACACGGTGGCAAAGGAGGTTGTTTTAGCAGAGGGACAATGCATGCAACGCAGAGCCCGGGTGACATAAAAAGGTCTGTGGAGAAGTGTGACTGGAGTACTGAGTTGTAGTGAAGGAGTTGAGCCCAGGGTCAGGGAGCCAGGGCTTGCTGAGCCCTTGCTGAGCTGAGCGGTGTTGACGGCTGGGTCTGGGGAACACCCCGACGTTGGAGGCTTTAACCTGGAGCCAGAGCTGGAAGAGAGGCCGGAGCTTAGATACTGATGACAAGACATAGATAAGTGGGAATGGCAGGTTAGAAGAGCTGTGCAGGAAGGAAGCAGAGGTTCGGGGGTCTCCACGCCCCACGTGGTCACCCCCAGATCGCAGATCTGACCCAGAAGATCTATGACCTGCGTGGAAAGTTTAAGCGGCCCACCCTTCGAAGAGTGAGGATCTCTGCAGATGCCATGATGCAGGCGCTGCTGGGGACCCGGGCCAAGGAGTCCTTGGACCTGAGGGCGCACCTCAAGCAGGTGAAGAAGGAGGACATTGAGAAGGTGAGTGTGGGCGAGGGTGAGGAAGGCAGGCGCTTGAGAGGGTCTGAGCCGCCATAAAGTCCCGACAGAGACTGGAGGTGCCGGGCGAGGGGTTGGGGCGACGCTGGAGGTGCATGGGGAGATTGGAGTCGTGGTGGGGACAGGGAATGCACGGGGGAGACAGGGAGTCATAGTGGGGACAGGGAATGCACGGAGGAGACAGGAAGTCATAGTGAGGAGAGGGAATGCACGGGGGAGACAGGAAGTACGTGGGGGTGATTAGAGGTGCACAGAGGAGATCCAGGTGCGTTGAAGTCGGCCAGATTGTCTGAGGGGCCTGGAAGTACTTTAGAACCAGATTCTTAGACAGGTGCTCAGGATAGGGCGGTCTAGCAAGCTAGAGGTCGGATAGCGGATATTTAGGGAATGGATACCGGAAAGAGTTCTTAACCTCTGACCTTTCACCTCCAGGAAAACCGGGAGGTGGGAGACTGGCGCAAGAACATCGATGCACTGAGTGGGATGGAGGGCCGCAAGAAGAAGTTTGAGGGCTGAACCCACGGCTCCCACCCTTTGCACGGAGCATGTTCCTGAGGAATAAACCTCTCTGAGCTGGAAGGGTCTGTGTGTGCATGCTTCCCTGGAGCGTCGGCAGGAGGAAAGATGGGGGTGATGCGGGTTGGTGTCCCCCAAAGCCATGTGCGGGTGTGGTCACAGTCAGATTTCTCACATGGGGTAGGACCACTGGCTTTTCCCCCCAGAGGACACAGTTTGATTCCCAGCACCCACACAGCAGCTCAAAATTATCTGCAATTCTAATTGCAAGGAACCCTAAGGCCTCAGAGAAGCAAACTAGCCATACATATTAAAATTTTCAAGTTACAAATAGAATTTTTTTTTAAGTTCCAAGAAAAGAAAGCTAGAACCCTAGATATATTCCCAGTGAGGCAGAAAGATGATGGAGGCCCAGTAAGAGACAGAAATAGAAACCAAAGCCAGAAATGGTGACACACACCTTTAATCCCAGTACTTGGAAGGCAGAGGCTGGCCTAGTCTCCATACTGGATTCTGGGACCCAACTCACCCCAAGCAACCAAACTAACGAACCCACGAAAAGCCCACAGAAATGGAAAACTAGAGAGGCAGAGACAGACACAGAGACACTCAGAAGGGTGGAGAAAGGCACATGGCGCACACTACACAGAAAGACAGAGCCACGTGACACATGAGCAGAGCTATAGGTGACCACACAAAGACATCCCCGGGACACACAAGGACAAAAAAAAAAAAAAAAAAAAAAAAAAAAAAGGAGAAACTGTTAGTCCCAGCACCGGAGAGGTGGAGGGCTGAAGGGCTCCTTAGTTACAGTATAGATGAGTTTGTTTGAAGCTAGCCTGTGCTACATGAGACCTCGAATCTTTCATCACCCCCCCCCCAGAACAAAACAAAACAAAGCAAAACTGCACAAGTTCACAGCAGTCCAGACAGGAGGAGGGGGACAGGCAGAGAGCCCAAACCCAAGCAGGGAAGACAGTGACCTGAACACCCACAGAAACAAACCCGCATCCGCAGAGCGTGAGGTACAGATGGGCGTGGAAGCCTGGTTTCCGAGTGGGCACCGAATTCCCTAGAGTTCAAGGTCATGGCTTGGCTGAGGGGGGGGGTCGGAGGATACTAAAAAAGATCTGTGTCAGATGGAGCGAGGAGGGGCTGGGAGGGTGCCGGCTGTTGAGCTTGACACCCCACCCTGTCCCTCCTCCCCACACCTGCTTTCCAGCTTTAGCAGCCTGCTGTCACTGTGGTGGAATCCTGGACAGACAAAGGAGTTCGGGCGGGGACGGATGGGGAGACAGTTGGACAGAGATGGTGGGGGGAGGGGTCGGGAGATGGAGGAACAGAAAAAAGACACATACACACAACGTGCGGATGCAAGCCACAGACGGGGGGCTATAGCAGAAGTTTCAGAAAAGCCACGCGGAGGTAAAAGCAGGAAGTGTCGCTTAAACCCGCCCCTTTTTGTCACTAAGCCCCCTTTTCCTGTACTCTCTCCAGTCTTGGGGACTCCAAAGCCCTGAAAGAGCTTGGACTGTAGGGCGTTGCTGATGGAATCCAACAGGGTTCTTAAAGCAGATGACAGGTGTTGGACCCCCAAACTGGAGTCAGAGGGGGCAAGGCAGGCTCTGAGCATGGGGGATGGTGTTTGAGCAGAGGAGTCCTCACCCCCCCTCCTCCAACCTGGGGCGGGGCTGAGCATCCAGCTATAAACCCAGGGGGTGCGTCATTGCCCTCAGAATCGACCGATTGCCTTTACAGCATCAGTGGATCCAGACTTCGGTAACCGGGCTCTTTGGGGTGTGGGCAGGACAGAAGTAGGAACCAGGTGTGAAAAGGAAGGCAGAATCTTCTTGTCCTCTTCCTCCTCCTCCCCTCCTCCTCCTTTGAGACACTCATTCTGCAGCCTTGAGTTTGCAGCAATCCTTCCGCTTCCTGGCTGAGTGAGCTTTGAGACTATAGGCAGGCGGCAGCAACCCAGCTAAGCCTGAGCCTTTGGGAGGGCAGTGGGATTTGTGGGTTACAGAATCTGGGGATGCTCTCCTTAACTTGGTGGAGGAAGTGTTTGGAAGGCAGAGGCATGTGGATCTCTGTGAGCTGAGTCCAGGCTGGTTTGCAACTAGAGTTCAGGGTTACATAGTAATACCATTTCAAACAAACAAAAAACTGTGGAGATCTCAGAGGCTGGAGGAACCACATAGTCTGTGCTTGAAGGGCAAATGGTTTGGGAAGTCTCGAGCATGAGGAACTGGGGAAGGTCTAGGGCCTGAGGTCTCAGCGGTACAGGCCAGAAGTCCCAACACTCAAGAGACTGAGGCAGGATGATTTTTAGTTCGGAGCCAGCCTGAGAAACGGAGTGAGGTCCCGTCTTGGAAAACACTGAGAGAGAGAAACAGTTATTAGGAATGGTGGCATTGCATCGTAATCCGGGGTGCTGCAATTGGACCTCTGAGTTTGGGTGTCAGGTTTTATTATTGGACAATCTTATACCCTGAGTTCTTATACCTGAGGATCACACAGGTGCAGGCTGTAATCTGGCACTCTGGGAGGCAGAAGAATCAGGAATTCAAGGCCATCCTTGGCTACATAGTGAGTTCAAGGCTAGCTTGTGTTATATGAGACCCGGTCTCAGCCAACCCCCCTCCCCTCCCCCTACAAAATCTTGCAGGTCTTAGGGAATGTAAGTGCCGGTCTAGCATGGATCGGCACCTGATCTTTTAGAGACACTAAGATTTTTTTGGTCTCATGTGACAAGGGATTTGGATCTCAGAACCTGTGGGCACTTTCAGGCCTGGAGGAGCAGAGTTTGGGGGAGGGAGCTAAGGTCTTTAGGGGATCGGGATGAAGCTTCTTCCCACGCACCCATCCGTGCGCAGGATGTAGGTGAAAGGGAAAAGAGACACTGGATGGGAGGAAACGCTAGGCACACAAGGGGGCTGTGGCGGGAGGGGCGGGGGGGGCCCACTTCTGCAATTCCTTATTGGGAAATGTCCTCTGTCTGTCTGTGACATTCCCCTGAAATAGCACTACGGGGTGGGGCAACTATTGTCTTCAAACCCTGTCCCTTTTCCAATACCCGCTAATCCCTACTGGGATCAGGTTCTCACGAACCTGTCACAGGACAAAAGGAGACAGCTGGGGTGAGGGGGGCAGGGTAGACAGGCTTGGTGTAGGACTGGGGCCTGGCCTTCCCCTGCTCTGACCCAGGTCCAGCCCTCTTCCTTGGGGGCCTGTCCCTTCCATCCTCCCTTCTCTGGTCTGCAGGCCAACTCCAGAATGTCAGACACAGAAGAGCAAGAATACGAGTGAGCGGTGACGTCGGGCAGGGTTGGGGACGTGCGATGTGGACAGATCAGATCGTTCCACCCCAGATGTCTAACTGTCCGTTCTCTCCCCTCTCTCCTTGTCCATGCCTCTAGGGAGCAGGCAGAAGGTAAGCGGGGAGAGGGCGGCCGAGGGCCTGGAGGAAGCAGGAAGAAGCGGGCTCCTTGAGGGGGAACTGTGCAGTCAGTCCTGCACCACTTTGGGGTAGGGGACGGGGTGGGATGTTCTGAAGCTGTTCCCAGGAAACGTCTGGCGACGGGTGGGAATGCCCCCTGAACGCTTGCAGCTGGGGCACGGATGGATGTCATCTTGTTAATTCGGTTTCCTATCGGGGACTTGGACTTAGACCCCAGGTCTGAGGGAGGAGGGCTGGGACCTGATCTCCAGGGTCTGAGGAGGGAGGGCAGGGTCCCTGCACACTCGATGCTCCTCACCCCGGATCTAACCTCTTCTTTATGCGCCCCCCACTCCTTCCAGATGAGGAGGCGGTGGAGGAGGAGGAAGGTGAGCCTGAATCCCACGGGTTCTAGGAGGCCTTGGGGCAGGGGTGGGGATTGGGTGGAGGCAGGAACCATGTGTCGGGCTGAAGGATCCTGGGTCCATTCTTTAACAGCATCTGTTTCTCTCCCCACCCACCTCTCCATGCTACTGTGTGGCCGCCCCCCCCCTGCACCTTCCAATGCTCGCTTCTGCTCCTGCCCCTCCCAGCCCCTGAGGAGCCGGAGCCGGTGGCAGAGCGAGGTAACCATCGCTTCTTCGCTTCCTGGGATTGATTCGGGGTGTCTGGGGACCCCGATATCATAAGATCCGCCGTCCACCATCACCCCCATCGGCTCCTGGATGACCAGCCCCGCCCAGCCTCATCCTTTAAGCCCCTAGGGCCTTGCGCCCTCTGGTGGCCGTGAAGGGAAATTGCCTTGCGTGTCTTTAAACATTTTCCCTTCCTTAAAGGGACTGTTGTACAAGCCTTCGTTCCAATCTTGGAAGAATGCTTACTAGAAAAGTTGCGTGTCGTCGGAGAGGTGCCCCATCGCCTCTCCTTTTGGCCCCCGACTCTGTATGTTATATTTCTCCCCTATATACATTCGAAGGTTGGGGCCTGAACTTTTTAAATCTTACATTATTTTTTTGTTTTTTTGGGGACAGGGTCTTAGGTAGTCCAGGCTGGCCTCGAACTTGCAGCAACCTTCCTGCGTCAGCCTCTGGAGTTCTGGGGTTACAGGTGTTCACCACCATGCTCAGTTTTTTTTGTTTGTTTTTTGAGAGGGTCTCAACCTGTTAGCTCAAGTTGACCTGAAACTGCATATATAGATAGCCTAGGCTGGCCTTGAACTCATAGCAATCCTCCTGCTTCAGCATTCCAAGTGCTAAGATTACAGGCATGATCTAAGAGGAAGTTGAGTTTTAGAATTAGGAGTGGGGGGGGAGGTCTGTGTCCCAAAGGAACAGGACACTGGGGACAGAGGTCTGGGGTCCCTGAATGAAGAAGAGAAGAGATGCAATCACCTCCACTGCTGGGCAGGATGGGGAAGGCAGCACACAGGGGACATATAATTATAGACAGTCAGGAGTTTGGTCCTTTGGGTTTCCAGAATTAGGGGACGGGGTGTGCCCACACCTATGCAGAATGTATATGTGATGTGAGTGACCCCCTCCTTTCCTCTGGCCACCTTGACTCCCTTTCCCTCTCTTAATGGCCTTTCCCCAGAACTGGACTCTCAGATCGCCCTTGCGTTTCCTCTTAGGGGTGCCAAGCTCTGCATTCAATTCTTGCTAATTATCTTTTTGTATTCCTCCCCCATTGCCACCAGAAGAAGAGCGCCCTAAACCCAGGTGAGATGCTACAGGGTGGATGTGAGTCACAAACAGGTCTTTCCATGCTCCCTCGCCTGCAGAGACAGGGAGGCCAGTGCAGGCAGTGGAAGCTCACTGAACTGAGAGGAAGCCTGGGGTGGTGATGATAGGGCCACGGTTTAGAGACCCTGGGCTCTATCATTAACCTTCAAATGCGGTTTTAGGGGCTGGAGAGATGGCTCAGTGGTTAAGAGCACTGGCTGCTCTTCCAGAGGACCTGAGTTCAGGTCCCAGCTCCCACGTGGTGGCTCACAAGCATCTGTAACTCCAGTTCCAGGGGTCTGATGCCCTCTTCAGGCCTCTTTGGGCACTTGACCACACACATGCTGTCTGGACAGCAGCGCATGAAATTAAAGAAAAACATTTAAAAATAGAGAATGAAGTGTCTGGGAGCATGTACAAAAATTATATGAAAGCAGTGCATTTCAAGCTTTAAAACGTTGCATTATGTATTTGTGAGGGTGTGAGCACAAAGGCATTTGGGCATGGCACAGGTGCGGAGTTCACAGGATGACTTTCAGGGGTCGGTCCTCTCATTCCACCTTGTGGGTCCCAGGGAATGGACCTCAAATCACCAGGCTTGGCTTTTGATTACTGAGTCTTCCCTGACCCATCCCCATCTCTGTAGCTTTGGAGTCTGTCCTTGAACTTGCTCTGTAAACAAGGCTGGCTTTGAATTTACAGGGATCCACATGCCTCTGCCTCCCAAGTGCTGGTAACAAAGGTGTGCACCACCAATGCCTGGCTTCTATGGCCTTATATGTTTGACACAAGTGCTCCATCTTGAGCCACGCCCCCAGCCCCTCACTGGGGGATTCTAGGCAGGGGCTCTACCACTGAGCCACGCTCCCAGCCCCTCACTGGGGGATTCTAGGCAGGGCTCTACCACTGAGCCACAGTCCCAGTCCTGTTTTTACATTCTAGTGTGAAGTCAGGTCTCACAAGTTTCCAGGGACGGCCTTAGCTTCCCTGTACACCAGGCAGGCCCTGAACTTGCCTCTGACTCCCAAGTAGATCGGATGATGGGTTTGTGCCATTAGGCCCTGCCCATTTTTTTTTTTTTTTTTGTACAAGTATATCAAAACAGGCAAAACACAGAGTCTTACATGTTTTATTAAACTCGACATACTCAAACAGCGTATGTTCTGACTGTGGTCTCCACACAGACTCAGGGGCAGCTGTCACTTTGGTGAGATGGTGGGTGAGGGAGGTCAGCCTGCTGATGATCTCTTCCCACTTCTGTTCCCACAGCCGTCCTGTGGTGCCTCCTTTGATCCCCCCCAAGATCCCAGAAGGGGAGCGTGTGGACTTTGATGTAAGTGACAGATGACCCACCCCAGACGTACTTGCTGGTTCCTCGGCGCCTTGAGCCCGTTCTGATAGGTGCCCCTCTTTGCTCCCTTCTTGAAAATGCCTGGATTTACCTCGGTGCCCTGCTGTCAGCAAGGAATGCGTTGCTGACATCTGCTGGAAGCCATCCCCTGGGGCTGGGAGGGGCGGCTCTAGGGCCTGGTTCCGCGGCCTCACGGGCTCCCTCTGCAGGACATCCACCGGAAGCGCATGGAAAAAGACTTATTGGAGCTGCAGACTCTCATTGATGTGCACTTCGAGCAGCGGAAAAAGGAAGAAGAGGAGCTCATAGCGCTGAAAGATCGCATCGTGAGCCTGGGAGGCCGGGTCCTTCTGTCCCTCCTCTTCCTTTTCTCCGTGAAGTTTCTCTGGGAGAAACAATGGGGAGGGACACAGGGTGGTTGCTCTCTAGTGTATATTTCTGCCAGGTGTGCACTTAGGAGGCCAAGCAAGGCAGATTGCCACGGTTTGAGACCAGCAGGGGCTATCTGAGACTATCTCCAAAAAGGAAATAAAACAAAAGAAACCACACTTACCTCTCTTGCTGCCTACTGGTGGAGGGAGGAATAAGTTGGGGGGAGAGGCTAGCCTCCAATCCCCCTCCCCCATCTCCCCCATACCCCAGGAGAGGCGTCGAGCAGAGAGAGCTGAGCAGCAGCGGTTCAGAACCGAAAAGGAGCGAGAGCGGCAGGCCAAGCTGGCGGTAGGTGCCTGTCCTTTTCTTAGAGACCAATACTTCCTTTCCCGCTTTTGATGTTCCCTGTGGTTCCCAGACAGTCCGTGTAATGTGTAGCGTAAGGATTTTCTTTTCTTTCTTTTTTTTTTCTAGTGCAAGGATGAACTGCATATAAATTAGAAAGTCTACTGCTGGTCCAGTTTCAGACATGGCTGGGTCAAGAGACTCAAACCATAGCACAGTGACTGAGCACCGAGGCAGGAGGATTTCTGTAAATCTGAGGGCTCAGTGAACTATATATCAGGTTTAGGGTTGGATCCCTCGGCAGCCCCATCTTCACGCATTGTGGAGCCCAGCCATCCACTACCCAGGCTAGCGCCTTCCTCCCTCATGGAGGGAACCCTCTGTTTTCACAGGAAGAGAAGATGCGGAAGGAGGAGGAGGAAGCCAAGAAGCGAGCAGAGGATGATGCCAAGAAGAAGAAGGTTCTCTCCAACATGGGGGCTCATTTTGGGGGCTACCTGGTCAAGGTGAGTCTAGCCCCCCGGGGGGGAGCCTGGGGTCTGTGTTTACAAGGAGGAAGGAAAGGGAGCTTCTGAGTGCTGGTCCTGAGAAGGTCTGAGCCTAGACCCCGTCCAGGCGGGGCGGGTGGGGGGCACTGTCACTTTAGATGAGGTGTGGCCACCTGCTGGATGTCTCTGTCCCCTTCCATCCACAAAGACTTCTGGTGGTGCCTACATGTGAGAGAAGAGTGTGGCCTGTGTCTGATGGAGGAGGCATGGAGCTGGAACTCCTGGGTCTGAGGGAGGAGGGCTGCAGCTTGTTAGGATAAAGCTGGAGGAAGCTTAGGTGGGGGGGGGGGGTGGCATGGCAGATTCCATGGCAGGCCAGGGTGACCGAGGAGGGGAAAAACACGCCAGACAGAGCTTAATGAGAAGCTTTATTGGAAAGAGGAGGGAGAGGGAAGGGAAGAGAAAAGGTAAAGAGACAGAGAGAGGACAGAAGAGGGAGACAGGGAAAGCCCTGTCTGCCCCAGAGGAACAGAGGGGGAGAGCTGGAAAAGAGCCAGAAAGAGAGCATAAGTGGGTGGGGGTCTGTCTTTTAAAGAGGTCCTTTGCACCTGCATGCAGGCTAGTACTCGTGGACCCCTGGTCTGACCAGGGCACTGCCTGAGTGCATTCTGCCAGGTGACAGGGGCTGGCCAGCATAATGCCTGAGTCCTTACACAGCCTGTACTCCCATGTCCGGGGGAGGGGAGCTGCAGTCTGTGTCCCTTGCATGTGGTGGGGGCACTGGTTACGACTGTAGGACCCTGAGTGGATTTGGCCTCCAGGTTCCATCCCTGGCTTGGGATTCTTCCCCCACCAGGCCGAGCAGAAACGTGGGAAGCGGCAGACCGGCCGGGAGATGAAGCTCAGGATCCTGTCTGAGAGGAAAAAGCCCTTGAACATCGACTACATGGGGGAGGACCAGCTCCGGTAGGTGCCCGTGGCCCTAAGGTTTCCACGGGTGATGGTCCGGGTGTGAAGCTTGGTGCAAGTGGCATTCCTGTTCTGGGCCACTGTTGCTTTCGCTGTTTGAATTGTCACTCAAGATGCAATATGGCCCGTGGCTGGCATGGCCTGTGGAGTCTGGCATTCGTAGTATTCCTCCCTCATTTAGGTAGAATCCTAGCATTCAGGAGGTAGAAGATGAGAAGAAGTTCAGGGTCATCACCTCCTATATATTCAGTTTGAGACCAGACTTGGGTTACACACGACCTTGTCTCAGAAATCAAAACCACACACACACACAATAAATAAATACATACATACATAAGCAATACATAAAACCCAAGCATCTTTCTGGTTCTGGGTCTCCCAGCCATCACTTCCTTCTCTCCCTTGGGAGACCTCCATTTCAGAAAGTGGCCATACTTTAAAATTTCAGCCTCCAATCTTAACCAGAATGTACCAAGGTAGCTGGCTTCCTTTTGGGCCACCAACCGGTTCCCAAATCAAGACTTGAAGACTTAATATTGGTTATGAAAGCTTGGCCTTAGCTTATGCTTGTCGGACTAGCTCTTGTAACTTAAATTAACCGTGTTCCTTTCCTCTATGCTTTGCCTACCCCGTGGTTGGTTGGCTGGTTCCAGGCATCTGCCTTTCTTTCTCCCTTGCTCTCCCTCCCTTCACCCCTAGATTCCTCCTCCTACTTATTCTGTTTGCCCGCCAGCCCCTCTCCTGCCTAGCTATTGGCTGGTCAATTTTTTTTATTAGACCAATCAGGTGCCTTAGGCAGGCAAGGTGAAACAGCAACGCATCTTTACACAATGAAACAAATACAGCATAAACAAACGCAACACACCTTTCAGTAGTTAAAGTAACATTCCACAGTAAACAAATGTAACACATCTTTACACAGTTAGAGTGATAACCCACCACTACCAACTACACCAAACTCAAAGAGGCTTGCTGCCTGGCTTGGGGGTAGGGGTCTCAACCTTTCTGGGCCCAGAACACCATCTCGCTGCATCCCAGTCATTCTCGTCCTGCCAGGGAGAAGGCCCAGGAGCTGTCTGAATGGATCCACCAACTAGAGTCAGAGAAATTTGACCTGATGGAGAAACAGAAGCAACAGAAATACGAGGTGGGGCCTGACTCTGTTGGGGTTCAGGCTGGGTGACAGGCAGGGCTTTGGCTGGGCAACCCACCTAGCCTGGCTTCTTGTTCTACAGATCAATGTGCTGTACAACCGCATCAGCCACGCCCAGAAATTGTAAGTGCTGCCCCCAGCCTCCACATGAGGCCTGCTGTCCTCCCTCCCCCTCCATCCCTCCCCCTCCCCCTCCCTCCTCCTGTGGCTTCTGTGTACCACCGCCCTTTTGGCATCTTAAGTGTCTTTGCTCCTTGTTCCCCAAGCCATCCTTTCTGTATCTGTTCTTGTGGGTTTGTTTATTTATTTTTTTGTTTAATTTGTTTATTATTTCAAGACAAAATCTTACTTTGTAGTGGGCTGGTCTGGAACTCACTATGTAGCCCAGTCTCACTAGGTAGCCGAGGCTGGCCTTGATCTCCTGAACCTCTGCCTTCAGCTTCCTGAGTGCTGCACTCCAATCTTTTGCACCTCCTTATCAGCACTTTGGGTTCAGTCCCCCTCCCTCTCTGCTTCCTTCCATCTCTTTCTTTCTGAGTATATATATTTTTACACTTTTTTTTGTATGTCATTCACTCTGTGTGTGTGTGTGTGTGTGTGTGTGTGTGTGTGAGAGAGAGAGAGAGAGAGAGAGAGAGAGAGAGAGAGAGAGAGCGAGAGAGAGAGCGCTGCCATGGTGCAGTGTGGTCAAAGGATGACTCCAACAAGTTGGTTTTCTCCTTCTATCATGTGCATCCCAGAGTTGAAACTCAGGTCCTAGGCTTGGCTGCAAGCACCTTTACCTGCTGAGCCATCTCAGTGGCCCCTCTTTTTTTCCCCTTCCTTCCTGTATTTCTTCCTTTCTCTCTCTCTCTCTCTCTCTCTCTCTCTCTCTCTCTCATCCTGCTCTCCCTCCCTCTTCCTCCTTCTCCTTCTTCTGTCTCTCCACTTTCTGCCCCCCCCTTTCCTTCTCTCTATTTCTTGTTATTAAGACAAGGAAGGTCTCCTGTAAGCAAGAAAGACCTTGATCTCCACTTGTAGTTGAGGTTGTCTTTGAACTCCTGACACTTTCCTGCCTCAGCTTCCCAAGTACGGGGATTACAGAACCATCATACCTGGCTTTTTTGTTGTTGTGTTTTAAGTCAGATTTTTGCTTTGTAGCCCAGGTTGTCCTCAAACTCTTGGAGCCTTCCTGCTTCATCCTCTTCAGTGCAGAGATTGCTGATGTGTTCCACCGTGTCAGGGCGCTCCCTGCTCAGTCTCTGTCTTTTTCTAGCCTTTTCTGTGCAGTTCCAGCCTCACTGACTGCTGTTGCAAGCATGCATGCCACCAGCTTCAGCTCACCCTTCCTTCATGCTCAAGCCCCTTACTCATAAAGTTGTGTGTGCTCTCTGAACTAACCCAACAAAGTCATCTCCTTTATGGCCACCAACCACCTACTGGGCATTATCTGAAACAGATGCCCTCAATAGGGGCGTGGTTCATTGGTAGAGCCCCTGCCTAGAATCCCCAGTGAGAGGCTGGGGTGTGGCTCAGTGGTAGAGCCCCTGGCTAGAACCCCCCAGTGAGGGGCTGGGGGCGTGGCTCAATGATAGAGCCCCTGCCTAGAATCCCCAGTGAGGGGCTGGGGGCATGGCTCAGTGATAGAGCCCCTGCCTAGAATCCCCAGTGAGAGGCTGGGGTGTGGCTCAGTGGTAGAGCCCCTGGCTAGAACCCCCCAGTGAGGGGCTGGGGGCGTGGCTCAATGATAGAGCCCCTGCCTAGAATCCCCAGTGAGAGGCTGGGGTGTGGCTCAGCAGTAGAGCCCCTGGCTAGAACCCCCTAGTGAGAGGCTGGAGTGTGGCTCAGTGTAGTGTGCATACTTAACATATGTGAGGCCCTGACTCCATACCCACTACTGAAGAGAGAGAGAGAGAAAGGGAGAGAGAGAGAGAGAGAGAGAGAGCGCGTACCTCTGCTCCCTTTCCTCTGGGTGGGGATAGGTATTTGGTGGACTTCCGTAATTTTAAAGGGCCCATGTTAAGCTTATCTCAGAGGCCCAGGGCCTCTTCCTGACACTACCTTCTTCTGTCACAGCCGAAAGGGGGCTGGGAAGGGTCGAGTTGGAGGCCGCTGGAAGTGAGACTGCCAGGGCATGCCCCGCTGCACGGAGCCCAGGAGCCACCTGAAACTCAAAATGAAGACTCTGCAGACATCTGCTGAGTTCCTCAGCTTGTCATTGTGTGTGGCTGGCGGTGTGGGGCTGGCTGACATCTCCATGTTGACTGGGGAGAGAGTCCCCAGCTCTCATTAAAAAGATTTCAAATTCATGGCTGGCAGTGTAGCTTGTCTAGCACTCATGAGACCCTGAGTTAAATCTCCAGTGCTGCTTAGACTGGATGTGATGGTGAACGCCTGTAATCCCAGCACCTGGGAGGCAGAGACAGGAGGGTCAGGATATCAAGGTCATCCTTGGCTACACAGTGAGTTCAAGACCATCCTGGGTTCCATGAGACCCTGTCTCAAAAATAATGACAATAAGTAAGGATGCTAGGAGAAGGGGGGGGTAGGGGGTGAGAAGCAAGCGACAGGAAGAGGCTGCTGCGTGCATAGATCCGTAAGATGTGATTCTAGGGCCCAGGCCATAGCTCAGAAGGTAAAGCTGTGTCCTGTCAAGCCCTGCGACCTGGGGTAGACTGGTTTTCTAGGACTCACATGGTAGAAGGACACGCACAACGCCTGCAAGTTGCCCTCTGACCTCCAAGTGTTTTGGCATACACGAGCATACATGTACAAAGGAATACAATTAAAAAAAAAAGAGGTGCGATTCTGTAATGATGTACAGATGAAGATACACGGGACGAGGATAAAATATGGGTTATATATTTTATTCTGGGAGAAGTCACTTACATGAGAAATCAATGACCCTCAAGTTCCCGCCCCAAGGATCCACATAAGAGCTGCTCTCGGGAACCAAGAGAGAGCAAGCCTGTCCAGGACCCCAGGCCACACCCACGCACCTGTGACCACACCCAAATGGGCGTGGTCAGCGCCACAGGTGCACCTGGGTGGATGTCTCACTACAATTCTGGAACTGCAGAGATGGCTCAATGGTTAAAGAGTTCTTGCTGCTCTTTCAGAAGACCCACGTTCAGTTCCCAGCACCCAGGTCAGATGGCCCACGATACCCTTGGAACTCCGTCTACAGGACGCCCACTAGTGCACTTGTGTACTTTCACCAATGTGTAGACAAATGATGGATCTTTTAAAAAATGATCGTGATGTTAGGGGTTGGGACCAAATCATCTCCCGTCATTGCAGTGTCTGCACTCCATATGGAGAGTGAATTTCTTCCCGTTCCTTAGTTGGAGGTGCCATTTGAGAGAATACACCCTTTCAGGACACTGACAATCTCCTGTCCACCCAGTGTCGGTGCAATGGCAGCAACAGACAAACAGCCACAGGTGTCCCTGGAAATTTAGTTTATAAATTAACTTCCCCTTCATTTTGATCAAGGTAATTAGCTCTTCTAATGATAGTCTAAAATAACACACCCGGAGGCCAGGTGTGTGTAGGGACATGCATATAATCCCAGAATTTAAGAGATGGGACAGGAGAAAGTCCTGTCTCCAAAACCAAAACTCAACAGAAACAACAACCAGACCAAAAATGGCTAATAGTAGTCTTACCTTTATCTGTGCATTGGTATAGCCTAATTTTGTGGATAATTTTATACACATCTATTTAGTGTGTGCCTTGGTAGGGTGTACATGTGTGCCATGGTCAGGGGGTGGAAATCAGAAGACAGTTTTTGGAGTCAGTGATCTTCCGTATGGACCCCAGGGGTTGAAATATCTGATTTTATGCCTTGGGGAAGAATGGTGTGTGTGTGTGTGTGTGTGTGTGTGTGTGTGTGTGTGTGTGTGCGCGCGCTTGTGCGCGGTGCAGGCACCTCATATCTCAAAAACTACAGGATTATCCTTTTGGATTTTATGGTTATTATTTCCCAGGCCTTGCAAGCGTTTGCAATTTATTTCTCATTCACAATTCCAAGGGCCACAGAGTGAATAGGGCTGCCCTAATGCCCTTTAGGGAAACATTTGTTTTCCCTATATAAAATTGACAGCTTTCTGTTCTACTTTGGTAGGGCTGTGTTCCTGTCTCTAAGAGTCTCTATCCTTCTCAAACTTGATTTTTTTTGGGGGGGGGGAAGTACTTGAAAGACCAAGGTGTTCTTATAGGTTGGGTCTATTATAAAATTTCCAAGCCTATTGGAGCATCAAATTTTGTACTACAAATCCTAGTATGCCGGGAAAGCATTGATACAATCCTAGTGTCCTCTGCAGCCCCGGGTGAGCTAAGGAAAATTGTGTGGTCATTTTGGGCTCTGCTCTTGAGGAGTCTTCTTCCCGGTGTGCTCAAGGGGTTACCACTAGAGAGCATAGGCTTTTCTTGATCTGGAAACAGACGTTCCTGGGTACCTTGGGTTTTGAGACACATTTAGAAATGTGGGGCTGAACCTTTTAGGAGGCGTGACCCTGAGACTACATTTCCCAGCTTGCCCTGTGTTATCTGAGTCTCTTGAAATTTGCTCGGGAACTTTATCTGGGAGTGTTAGTTAGTTACCCAGAGGAGTTTGGCGGCGATTGTCTTTAATATGGTTTGAGAACTCAATTTCCCGTGGGCCCTTAGTCTTTCCGACGCCTCAGGGAGCCCATTCATTCATTCATTCATTCATTCATTCATTCATTCATTCTAAAATATGTTTCAATGTCAACTCTCAAGCTCAGTTCTAGTCATCATGACTAAAGGATGCTCAAAAGAGACAAATCCTTGTTCTCATCGGTTGATTGGGGGGGGGGTAGATTCAAAATCAAAACAAGCCGGACCTGGTGACACCCTTTTAATGCCAGACAGAAGGGGGCGAATTTCTGTGAGGTCGAGGCCAGCTTGGTCTACCTAGCGAGTTTCAGGCCAGGCAGAGTTACATAGCAAGACCCTGTCTCAAAAACAAACAAACAAACAAAAAAAAATGAACCCCCACCAAACCCCAAACAAACATCTCCAACTGCGGCAATTAGGAGATGGAGGCAGGAAGATCAGGAGTTTAAAGGCATTCTTAGTTACACAGTGAGCTCGAGGGCAAACCCATCTCACAACAAAACACGGGAGTTTTATTTCTGTATCTCCAGGTTCCGCTATACGCCATCATTTTCCATGCGCCATCGATTAACCACTTTACAAAAAAACTACACTTCCCAGTATCCCCCTGGGCATCCCGTGCAGCCTCTATACCCAGATTCCCAGCATTCCCTGGGGACATGTCCTCTTTCGGGCAATTTTTGTCATTTGGTTTTTTCCAGACAGGGTTTTTTTTTTTTTTTCCCTCTGTGTAGCTCTAGCTGTCCTGGGACTCCCTCCGTAGACCAGGCTGGCCTGGAACTCAGGGATTCGTTTGCCTCTGCCTCTGCAGTGCCGGGGTTGAAGGCGGGCGTGCCGCACTCTTGGCGGTCTCCATTCCACCCCTTCCAGCTCCAGGTGGCCAAACGTCCCCCGGGATTTAGCGAGTGTGGGGGAACCTTCCGTTCAGTTTGTAGAACCCGCTGCCCAGCAGCACTCCCGGCGGCCAGCCTGCTCCCCGGCTCTCTCAACCCGACCGCGCTAGTGGCGCAATCAGGACTCCATTTCCCAGGGGGCCGCGGGGCAGCGTCGTGACGTCAACGTCCCGTCCGGGGGCCGGTCGAGCCTCTGGGCGGTGCTTGCGGCGCGGCGGTTCCCGGCGGTTCCCGGCGGCCCCCGGGGCGGGCGGGTGGCGGCTGGTCGTCGCCGGGCGCTCGCTCGCTCGCTGGCTCGCTCGGTAGGCGGGCGGGCGGCCGGCCGGCGCGATGTCGGGCGAGGACTGCCCGGCGGCGGGCCCCGGGGCGGCGGCGGCGGCGGCTGCAGCCCGCGAGCGGCGGCAGGAGCAGCTGCGGCAGTGGGGGGCGCGGGCAGGGGCTGACCCGGGCCCCGGGGAGCGTCGTGCCCGTACCGTCCGCTTCGAGCGCGCCGCCGAGTTCCTAGCGGCCTGTGCGGGCGGCGATCTGGATGAGGCTCTCCTGATGCTTCGCGCAGCCGACTCCGGCCCCGGCCCCGGCCCGGGCCCCGGCGGTGAATCGGACCCCGCCGCCCCGCCGCCTGCCCGAGCGGTGCTCGACTCCACCAACGCCGACGGCATCAGCGCCCTGCACCAGGTCGGTCGGTCAGCGCCCCCGTCTCGTGTCTGCGCCACCCGGGCGTCCTCCCTTCCCGGCCCCGAGCTGCCTCCCCCACCCCACCCCACCCCACACCCCCCGACTCTGCCGTCTCAGTGGCCGCCTCTTCTCTGTCATCTGTGCTGGCAGCGGTCTCCTGTGCATCCTTTGCGCGCCGCTTACTGCCGTGCCTGTGTGCTGGCCCGGTTTCTCCTCCTTTCCAGGCTGGTGGCTTGTTTGGCGGTGCTGCAGTCTTCCAGGGCCGAGGTTTCGACCTCCCGCAGCCCGACTTGACCCCTCCTCTGATGCTGTCTGTCTGTCTGTCTGTCTATCTATCTAGGCCCAGGCTCTTTGAGGGTCCACCCACCTTGTGCCATGGTCTACTTCCTGTGACCAGTGCCGCCCGTTGTGGCCTCAGGATGGTCCTTTCCCTTTCAAGGCAGTTGTACCCCTTTGCCCCCTTGAAGAGGTGCTTCCTCTGTTGGGTCATCCCGTACTGTGTCTTTTCTCGATTCATCATCCCCTTTTGGCGATCTTGCCACCTGCCAGAGAGGTTTCTCCTCAACTCTCTTCTTTCTCCATCCACATTTATTTACCTTTCTGGAAACTTCTAAGCATTGGATCTTCCAAGCTCTGGACCGTTTCTCTTGTTTTTGTTGTTTTATTTTATTTTTTCCCTGAGAGAAGGTCTTCTGTGTAGCCCAGGGCAGCCTCAAGCACAGGTCCTTCTTTGTGCCTCTGACCCCTCATTTGTGGGGTTACGGGCATGGTCGTCTATGTATCACCTCACGGGACTTTTAAAACTGTGCCCTCTCTCCTAGATTTCCACCCTATCACCTTCCAGAACCGACCCCACCAAAACCCTAGGCATCTCAGGCGCTGTGATTGTTTTTTTTCCAGTGATCTGTGCCCGACAGTGAGGACCATCTTGTGCTGCCCGGATCCTTCTTGATTCGGGATGCTTTTACCTGCCCATCATCCAAAG